CGTCTCACCGAGGCATTTGTATGAATCAGCTGTCTGTACCGCGGTGGCAACGCGCCTGTAACTAATCTCATCCTGATAGTGACTTGCCACTTAGTCGGCGGCTAAAGCCCCAAAGAGTCATTAATAATATATTTACGTCAGCACATCCAGCGTAACGTGTCTTTATAGCGGCTAGGCGTTCAGAATTCACCAATCTTCTTGTACACTATCATAACCACTCGATGTCCTAATATGTATTAATCGCTTCATAGACAATTCCAATAAAAGAATTTCTGTGATATTTAACAAGGCATGATCGACAGCTAACCATTCGTTGCCCCCCAACATATACATTGGCGGCTTTCTGTTCGTACTTGGGAATGGGAGATAAGCCAGTGGGCTACGTGAGGGTATATAGGTCTAATGTCGCCCAGGTTACGCGTGAGGCCGCCGAACGTACCCTGGTAACTATCTGATATAGTCTAGGTTAGGGTTAGGTTACTGCGAGTAGCAGCCGTAGCCGACTCCCTACACTCGTTAGTGATAGGCGACGCGTACGCCGAGGTACGGTCCGGCATATTAGATAGTACCAGGGTACGTTCTGGCAGTACCCCGGGGAACATAGACCCTCTCAGCGCCAGTGGGCTAGTGAGGCTGTGAGCGAGGCGGTGAGCCTGCGTGTGTACGTGTACACTGTCATAAGCGGCGTTTACACGGTCGATTAGATTCCGTATTTAGCGTTTACACGGTTAAATAAATCGAGACTTGGACAGATATTCGGTGCTTATTAGATTCGGGATTAACAAATACCGCACTTAATAAGCACGGAATAATTTGTCGCGCCAGCTAAGCTCCGAATTGTTAAATGCGGAATTACCTGTTCATGTAAACGCTCGAGTTGTGTACATGACTGTATGCACTGATTGTTTCATTTGCATTGTTCGCTTTTTCATTGTACTAAACCTCGAATTCACACACATCCTCCGTGTAAACAGCTGGCTCGATGTAATTTTAAATACCGAATCTCGATCAAATACCGGATTTCCGAGATACGGAACCTAATAAGCACTGAATGCCGTGTAAACGCTGATATTACCGGTGGCTGCCACGTGCCGTTCAGCGTGTCGCCAGCACCGCTAGAGCTGCCCATCGAATCCTCAAACAGAGTATGGGTGGCGCCACTGTGCTCGTCGTAATCTTCGGCTCGCCGAGTCTCAGCCTCCTGCTGGCGAAATCGGAAAACGCTGTGTCACACGCGTCGAATTGTCATTTCTATACGCTCTCTACTTCCTCGCTGCCAACTGGCGACAGTTTCTGCCCGTCTCCCCGCCCTGAATTTCCCCGTTGGCTCCTGCTGCCAGCTGGTGCCAGTATCTGACCTTTTCCATGCATTGTACCTCCCCGAGTGACCTGGCTATGGCCAGGGGCAGTAGCTGCTCTAAACCTTATCCACAGTTAAGCATAATTGCTAGTGATATACTTTTCTATCCTAAAGGTATTTTAATTTAGGTGGGGGGTAGGGGGTAGGGGTAGCGGGGGGGGCGGTCAGGTCCAGGGCGAAGCCTGGTCAGGGGATTCAGGAAGTTTTTGAATTTTCACAACTTACAAGGCTTAAAATTGCATTAGGAGACACATACAGAACAGAATTGTTACAGAGCATATTACAGTACACTGCAGGGAGTATATATCTTGCACTGTCATTATCATAACACCAGAATTAATAATCAATACAAAAATTTACTTACATTCTGCAAACAAAATTATTGTAATGTACACTTCCACACTTGTCCCCAAAGCGCACGATATAATATTATTCTTAACACCCTAGGAGCTAGGGCGCGATCGCTCAACATTAATTTTTTTATCGTTTTCAAAGGTTCAAGCTCGCGACACCACCTTTTATGGTTATGTATATATGTATTATAAACAGAACTTCGTTAGCGAGAAGTGAAACAGTTCGTACCTACGTTTCCTACCACGTGAAACAGTCGCAGAGCCTGGGCCAGCTACTTCATAAAACGAGCCTCAAGGTCACGCGTGACGCGGCGGCTTTTGATGTACACGATCGATCGATCGCGTACTATATACCGGTACGCCTGCGTAGCACGCGCGGCACACATACACACACACTTGCAGCGTCAAATAAACGCACACACTGGCCAACGTCTGACAATCTCAAACAGTGAACTAAGCCGTGTCTATATTGTAAAGCGAACTATATAATATTACAATGTTATTAAATGAAGGTACTGTTGGACTGTAAAATGAAAATTTGTACATTCTAACCCCCCCTGAAATTTTCTCTCAACGGATTTAGACGTTTCACAAAATCGACCCTGGGACTGTGAAATCCGCGGATTTCTGCGAATCCGCAGAAGATTCTCATCCCTGTACTTGTTACTCATACCTGTACCCTCCTACCTGGGAATCTAACCTGCCTACCTGTTAATCACACCTGTACCCTCCTACCTCGTGATCTAACTTACCTACTTGCTTAACTATCACTCCCACCTGTTCCTGCCTACCTGCTCTTCCAGCTGTTCAGTCTGCAGCAGCTTCAGCATGTGAGCTTCGTAGGATGCTGTCAGGTCGTCCATCTCATACTTGCTGTGATCGTATGGCTTCTCATCTTCCGTTCTCCCGGCCCGCCGCTCCTGTCGACCGCCTCTTCCTACTCTCTCCTGCAAGGTGCGAAATTACTTATGTCAAATACTCCCTGATTTTCTGCCGAACTCCCTGATTTGACATATGCAGGAGTCTGTGACTCCCTGAAAATTCTGCTATACTAACTAGTTCGTTCCAGAGCACAGCCTCATGGAATTACCGTATTTTTCAACAAATCTGTAATTTTGAACTTCAGACTACGAACTCCCTCATTTTGCTGTGGACTCCCTCTTTTTGAGGGCAGGGACTCCCTCGTTCAAAAGTTAATTTCTACCCCTGCTCCTGCAATACATAGCTCGTCCTGGAACCACACGTTCTATACACAGTGCGTGAAGTAATTATGCCATGAAGGTTTATCAGAAGAGATGCAAGGCCTTTGCTGCCAACGTCCTATTGCCTAATTGTTTTATTTTTTGTGATTTAATTGTAACAAGCATTGATTGTTCGATCGACCTACCATGGACATCTTTACATCGTGGTTGGAGAGCTCATGCAGGGCCAGCCTACTGACGCTGCTTCGCTTCGGTACGGCAGCAGACGCACGCTCTGACGATAAGCCACAGCTTGAGCTTGTGGCGCCCCCACGCGCAGCTTCGCCGGCGCCGTCACCCCCTAACGCATCGGCGGCACCTTTGCGGCGATCGTCCGTCTGCGAAGCGCCGCTGCCAGCGTCTCGTCGCTCTAGGTCAGGGCTGTCAGCCGTGAGCGGACGTCGACTCGGCGCGCTGACGACGTCGCCGCGACGACGCAGGTTGTGATTCCGGTCTACTCTTGCTGCTGCTGCTGCTGCTGCCTGCAGGTCGGCTCCTATCGCACGATCGCTCGCGCGGTTTGCTGGATGAGACGGCACGCGAGGACTCACTCTGTGCGCGCTGCCTGCAGTACGGACCACCGAGCCAAAGCACACTCAATACACGTACCCAGCTAGCGCGTCGGTGCACTTAATACGTTCAGACTCATAAAGATAGTAGCGAAATTTACTTATATAAGCAAACCAATCTATTTCATCACACATGAATTGGTAAAAACCGTAGAAGAACGCCTTCATAAATCGGAAAAGAATACTTCACATGCTGAGAGTCAGAGCCAGAGGTTGGGAGAGAGTACCTGTGTGGCGTCGGGCAGTATCCACCTGTCTTCCCGCGATGTTCCCCTCATCTTCACTGTCTCCGTCGAGCGAAAAGTCAGACTCTAGCTGTGGCTTGGTTCTTGGTGAAGCTCTCTTCACCGAGAAAAATTAAATACAGATTCCACCACAACTCCACCATGCCGAAAGATAACAGTAATTTTATGCCTGACGTTATTGATATGTCAAGTGACGCATACATAATATATTATTGCAGTGTTTCCCCTGCATTGACGCCGCTCAAATTATCAGCCGCCACACAGAAATTTGTCCAAAACCCCACCTCGCTGACGAAAATCAATGTTCTTCCATAGAACAGTGCTTATAATGCACCAAATTGCACCATTTAAAAAAAAATTCCAGGGGGCATGCACCCGCCTCGCTTTGCTTGGACTTCGAAACGCGCAAATACACCAAAAA